AGGACCCTAACGGCTAGTACGCTGACGGTGCTAGTACTCCCTATTCTGAATTCTTTTTTTAGGGGCCCTATTCTGAATTCAACCATTCAATTTTTCATGTGTTCACTACATGATGGAGTAGCTCACAAGCTCAATTGCACGTACAAACTTAGCTTTGATACCCCTTCATTTCTTTTTTACTTCGCGTATAAAATTTATCTGAAGTCAAATTACGCAAAATTTGACCAAATTTATATTAAAATTTGTCAATTATAACACTAAAGTTACATAGTATGAAATTAATTTCATGGCATCTAATGATATTGATTTCGTCTCGTGATTGTTGAATTTTTTTTCTATAAAGCTGTTCAAATTTTACAAAGTTGAACTTCAGTCAAATTTTATATGCAGATAAATGAAAAGAAGTGGACTTAGCACACATTAAGAGCATCTACAGCCGCATACAACAAATCCGGCCCCTCAAATTTTTGTGGACGCATGATGACCCACAAGTATAGGGAATCTATCGCAGTCCTTTCGATAAGTAAGAGTGTCGAGTCCAACGAGGAGCAGAATGAAATAATAAACGGTTTTCAGTAAGGTATTTTCTGTAAGCATTAAAATTATCGGTAACAGATAGTTTTGTTTTGTGATAAGATAATTTGTAACGCGTAACAAGTAACAAGTATAACTAAGGTGTAACAAGGTGGTCAAATCTTTTTTTAGCAAAGGATAAGCCTGGATGAACTTTTATATAAAGCATAGCGCTCCCGAGGACACATGAAAATTACTGTCAAATTAGTTTTTATCATGCTCATATGATTCGTGTTTATTACTTTGATAATTTGATATGTAGGTGGACCGGTGCTTGGTTGTTGTCCTTACTTGGACAAGTCTCCCACTTATGATTAACTCCTCTCGCAAGCATCCGCAACTAAAAAAAGAAGAATTAAGATAAATCTAACCATAGCATGACACATATGGATCCAAATCAACCCCTTATAAAGCAACACATAAACTAGGGTTTAACCTTCTGTCACTATAGCAACCCATCATCTACTTATTACTTCTCAATGCCTTCCCCTAGACCCAAATCATGGTGAAGTGTCATGTAGTCGACGTTCACATAACATCACTAGAGGAAAGACAATATACATCTCATCAAAATATCGAACGAATACCAAACTCACATGATTACTTATAACAAGTTTTCTTCCATGTCCTTAGGAACAAACGTAACTACTCACAAATCATATTCATGTTCAAGATCAGAGGGGTATTGAATATCATTAAGGATCTGAACATATGATTTTCCACCGAATAAACCAACTAGCATCAACTATAAGGAGTAAGCAACACTACTAGCAACCCACAGGTACCAATATGAGATTTTGAGACAAAGATTGAATACAAGAGATGAACTAGGGTTTGAGAGGAGATGGTGCTGGTGAAGATGTTGAAGGAGATTGCCCCTCTCTCGAGGAAAGGATCGTTGGTGATGACGATGGCTTCGATTTTCCCCTCCCGGAGGGAAGTTTCCCCGGCAGAATAGCTCCGCCGGAGCCCTAGATTGCTTTTGCCCAGGTTCCGCCTCGACACGGCGACGCTTCGTCCCGGAAGCTCTCTTCCTGTCGGGGATATACCCCGTGGTATGACCCGGCCGGACTTGGCGAATCACTAGTAACCCACCCTAACTTGGCGACTCACTAGTAACCCGCCCTAACTTGGCGACTCACGAAGTGACCCGCTCGGATCTCTCCACTCATTGATGACCTGGCTGGGCCTGGTGACTCATTGGTGACCCGGCAGGCGGGTCAGAGGAGCAACAAGACCCGGTGGCCCAGCGGGCGGTTCATGGAAGGCCGGCTCGTATTATGATGGGCCCGTTTAAGAGAAAAGTATAAGGAATATTCCCTTACAAAGGAAGCAAGACTAGGACTCCACTTGTAATAGAGTAATCTTAATCCTAATAGGACTAGTCATGTAAGCCGCCCCTTCAACATATATAAGGAGGGACAGGACTCCCCAAGGAGGACAAGTTTGACAAGTTAGGTTTAGACAGACAAGTCTATAGCTCTCAAGTTAGAGCACCCGTGTAATCGTGATCATCATCATCAATATCAATGAAGCAGGATGTAGGCTTTACCTCCATCGTGAGGGGCCGAACCTGGGTAAAACCTTGCGTCTCTCGATTCCGACCAACCCCTTCAAGCTACTACATAGATGCGCTGGCCTCACGACTAAGTCCTCACACTAGAACATCTGCCGTGACAATTCCACGACAGTTGGCGTCCATCGTGGGGCCTGCGCACGGTGGTGTTGAGTTTTTGAAGGGATCTTTTTTATGATTTGAGAAATTCGCAATTTTTGAATAAAGAAGAACAGGATTTGAAGGATCTACGTCGCCTCCGTAACAAGCTGACATAACGGCATATACGAGATGAAGAAGATTTCAGAAGCTAGGGTTTCGTCAAAAGCGCTGCCGTACACGTCTGTGGCGATCCGTCCAAAAATGGATCAATGTCTACTACGACCGAGACCAACAAGAAAATTGCAGCAACACGCACAGGCGGAGACATAATCATTACAACTTCGAGACCTCCTCTGATTAGCACCGTTCGACGTGTGCAAGGGACAGTCCGAGTTCTACTCACAAAGGGATCAGGCCGCCCATTGAAATCACCGCAACCAGCCCCGAGATTGGTATTGTTCGATATCGATTGAAAAAAGTGCAAATACAGCTGGCATTAGTACTGGTCCGGCTCATTAAAAAAAGAATGAAATCAAGCGGCGACCCGGAGGAAGAGATGGTTGACCACGGAATTAGACCCCGAGCCGCCACGACCAGCTGAGTATGCCTCGACCCGACCCTCCGCCAGCTCGCCGCCTCACTGCCAGAACTGGCCCTCCGCTCCTCCGTTGCCGACCCGCCGGTCCACGCTCCGCGCTGAGCCGCCTCGCCAGGGACCTCGAGCCGCCACGGCCAGCTGAGTATGCCTCGACCCGACCCTCCGCCAGCTCG